CAGAATCAAAGAACAGCTTATCATATAATGTGCATACTTTTTTTATTTGAATTTTGGCAGTGGTTCGAGAGAAAGATGTCTGTTGGGAATATGCAGAGAAATTAGATGGAAACAAGGTAAGATGTAAATTTTGCCAAAGAGTTCTGAATGGTGGCATAAGTAGGTTGAAGCATCATTTATCTCGATTCCCAAGTAAAGGGGTAAATCCTTGTAGCAAGGTCAGAGATGATGTTACAGATAGAGTAAGGGGTATAATAGCATCAAAGGAAGAGGTAAAAGAAACCTCTTGTGTGAAGAAGCAAAAACTAGCAGAAGTCAAGTCTCCCGGTAATCTTTCAGCAACTAAAGCTCTTGTATCTTTGGATGCAGCATCCCCTGTTATGAAGATTTTCCCCACTGGCAATCCTATCACCCCTTCTTCTACAAACAACCAAGAGAATGCAGAGAGAAGTATTGCTCTATTCTTTTTTGAGAATAAGCTAGACTTCAGTGTTGCACGTTCTTCATCCTACCAGTTGATGATTGATGCCATTGCAAAGTGTGGTCCTGGATTTACTGGTCCATCAGCAGAAATCCTAAAAACAATATGGTTGGAAAGGATAAAATCAGAAGTGGGTTTACAGTCAAAAGATGTTGAGAAAGAGTGGGCAACTACAGGTTGTACCATCATCGCAGACACATGGACTGATTATAAATCGAAGGCCATAATTAATTTCTTAGTCTCTTCACCATCCAGGACCTTTTTCCATAAATCTGTGGATGCCTCTCCATATTTCAAGAATACGAAGTGGCTGGCTGATCTTTTTGATTCTGTAATTCAAGAATTCGGTGTAGAAAATGTTGTGCAAATTATTATGGACAGCAGTGTTAACTACACTGGTATTGCTAATCATATTGTGCAGAGCTATGGAACTATATTTGTATCTCCTTGTGCCTCTCAATGCTTAAACCTAATCTTGGAGGAATTCTCCAAGGTTGATTGGATTAGTAGATGTATTTTACAAGCACAAACGATATCAAAGTTAATATACAATAATGCCACATTGCTTGACCTCATGAAGAAGTACAGTGGGGGCCAGGAACTTATCAGGACCGGGATCACAAAGTCTGTATCAACCTTTATGTCTTTACAGTCTATGTTGAAGTTGAGAACAAGATTGAAGAATATGTTCCACAGCCATGAATATGCTTCAAACACTTCCTATGCAAATAAACCACAGGGTCTTTCTTGTATTGCAATTGCTGAAGATGTTAATTTCTGGGGGACAGTGGAAGAGTGCGTGGCCATCTCTGAGCCTTTTTTAAAAGTATTGAGGGAAGTATCAGAAGGAAAACCGACTGTAGGTTCCATATATGAGCTAATGACCAGGGCCAAAGAATCAATCAGGACATACTTCATAATGGATGAGAATAAGTGTAAGACAGTCTTAGATATAGTTGATAAAAAGTGGCGAGACCAACTCCATTCACCTCTACATTCTGCTGCTGCCTTTTTGAACCCCAGTATTCAATACAATCCTGAAATAAAATTTATTTCTTCCATAAAAGAAGACTTCTTTAATGTTCTGGAGAAATTGCTTCCTATACCAGATATGAGGCGTGACATCACCAATCAAATCTATACATTTACAAAGGCACATGGCATGTTTGGCTGTAGCCTAGCAAAGGAGGCAAGGAATACCGTTGCACCCTGTAAGTTTTAAATAGTGCCCCTTGACACATTTCTACTCAGAGTCAATTTTATGATGAAGTTCATTTTAAGCTGCATCATTCAATCCAACAGAACTTTTGTGATATCAGTGACTGACTTCAACATTGATTTTTAGGTAAAGAAAACCTGTATTTTAGGGGTAAAATGCACATCAAGTTGTTTAGTTTAATTCCAGGATTAATGCCGTTCCACATAGAACGAAGTTGTGAGTTTTTTTATTTTGGTGAGGGGACTTGCTGAAGAATAGTTGATTAAATCATAAATGAATGGAATGCGTTTGAAGAGATAGGTCATGCGAAACTAAATGTAGGACATTTTTTAATTAATTTCTGATTAATATGATTGTTTTATTTTCATTCACGGGACAACTAGAGAATTGACATCTAATTACTCCTTCAATTGCATTCTGAGAAACTTGTCCTAGCCTCCAGGAACAATAACTCGTTTCATTTGGTTTAATTGTTATTTATATGCCTTTTTTTCTCTTGGGATGGAGGACCACATCAAGCTGAAATGCGTTTCTCACTATGCTGCTTAGTGCTTTTGGTATTTGTCATTGTTCTTTAGATGACAAGACGGCAAAATATTGCTGTCTATTCTAAGCGAAGCCAGACTATGCTTTGATTGTCAAGCATCATATCAATTGTATTAATGAAGCAGAGGAGAGGCTGATTATTTCAATCTGTTGTTTATCTTGTGCAATGGATTTTGAGCAGCATGTTTTCATAAGAATGTGATTATTGTTGTTTCTAGTTGCTTTTACGATTATTTTATTAGCAAATCTGCTGATACCATTACTCAGTACGTTAGTTATTCTGCAAACTCATTGCTTTGGCGTTGTAGGGCTTTGGTGGGAGCAGTATGGTGACTCTGCCCCAGGGTTGCAACGAGTTGCCATTAGAATATTAAGTCAGGTTTGTAGCACCTTCTCATTTCACAGTCAGTGGAGTACCTTCAGGCAAATTCACTCTGAGAAGCGGAACAAAATTGATAGAGAAACATTGAATGACCTGGTTTATATAAACTACAATCTTAAGTTAGCTAGACAGATGAATGCGAAATCTTCAGAAGTTGATCTGCTTCAATTTGATGATATTGACATGACTTCTGAGTGGGTTGAGGAGAATGAAACTGCAAGTCCAACACAGTGGCTGGATCGTTTTGGTCCAGCCTTGGATGGCAATGATTTGAATACCAGACAGTTTAGTTCTTCTATATTTGGTGCAAATGACCCCATATTTGGATTGTAACTTTGTATTTCTTCATGTACCATAGCATAGCAAGTGTTCTTAATAGTTCTTTTTCGAGTTCGGCCTTGATGAAGTAGTAAGTCTCAGTTTTCCTTGTAGGAATGTATCTGAAAGTAAAGACAGGATTCTATTATTTGTCTCCCTCAGCCAACATGTGGGAGCATAGGAATTGTTCATTAATGAATTGTAATTTTGTAGTATCGAAATATAGAAGAAATTCATCAGTTTTCACATTTGATTTTGGAGTTTCAAGTTTAGCAGAAATTATCCAGTCTCACACAGTTAGTAGTGGAAAGTATACAGCACTATTTCAAAAAAATACGAAATTAACTAGAGTAGTAGTCTCCTACCCAATCACGCTCATCTAATTAAGTTTAATTTCAGAAACAATTTTTTTTTGTTTCAAATAAAAAATTATTTTTAGTTTCTATGTTTTCAATCAAATGTAAATAAATCTCCATATTTTTATACGATAAATTTTATATTAAACTTTAAATAACATATGGATTTAATTAATCTTTTAAAAGAATTCATCTTATATTTTAAATTTATATACAAAAATTACATTGTTTTTTGAATTTTGAGAATCATATTACATGTTTGATTATATTTGATATATTTAAATTTTAATTTGAGAACTCTATTCGACTTTATATTTAATATTTTAAAAATATTTTTTTTAATAATTTTTTTTATATTTCATAACTTTTATTTTCTTCCATGCAGTTTATTCTTTTGTCTTTTTTAAATTTTTATATAAATTAATTTATTAAATTATTCTTTTATTTTATATTTATTTACATTTTTTTAATTCATTTAATTTTTTAATCTTTTCAATTAATTTAACGAATATAAAGATAATTTTTTTAAAATATTTTACATAATAATTAATAATATTTTATTTATAATTTATCTTTATTAGATTTTATTAGATCATAGTTTTTGAATCGTATTAATTTTATTTATCATCTATTAAATTTTATCTTAATAAAATAGTTGTATTTTAAATAATTAAAAATTTGATAATTAAAATTTTATTACTTTAAACTAATTAAATAAAAATTAATTTATTAAATATTTTCTTTTAAATTATATATTTCATATGATAATTTAAAAAAATTAATTTGTATATAATCAAATATTTGAATATAATATAATATAATAATAGTAATAATAATATTAAATATATTTTGTATTAGTATAAAGAAAAAATAGTAAAAAAATTTATATTAATATTTTAATATAAATACAATAAATTAATATATATATATATTATATTTAATTAATAATAATTACAAATTATAAATACATAAAAATATCAAAATAATTTTTTATAAGTATAATTAATTTTATAAATATTGTACAGAATAAAAAAAACCTAAAATCCAATAAAAATGAAAATAAAAATTTAATCTCGATAAAGATTCAGATAAGAAACAGAAACAATTATAATTAAAAAAATATATATTTATAAAACTAAATAAATTTTAATAATAAAATCAAATTAAAATTTAATTCAATGCAACTAGTTTTTGAAGAGCAAATTGGAAACTTATAACACAATGGATTTCATTTAATCATTACTATTTATTTTGTTCAATTTAATCTCATTATTTGTAAAATAATTAATTAAATCCTTCAAATTTTTAAAACACAATGTGATAACTTTTCCTACCATTAAAACCTTAAAAACCCAATCATTAACAATAAAATAAACAGTGATAATTTTAATTTACGTATAATATAACACAAATGTAAAACTAAAATTATTCGGCTTTAATTGGGTTTTAGCGTGCATGAACATGTACATAGTGGCTAATTACACAACTTTAGCTATCAATAATTTTCCATTTTAGAACTCAATTCAACTTTGATTGGTCAAATTTCTTTGTGATAATTAGTGAAAATTCATATAAACTAAAATCAAATAAAACAAAATTGTTTGAGTAAACATTTTGTTTGAAAAGTCAAAGAAAACAAAAACTTAAAAGGCTAAAGTTGGAGTCCGAATCCCAAGTGGGACGGAACACGCTTGTTCGATGGACTACGATTTCAGGAGCAGGTCCGGCCTACAAGTTCCGACACACCATCCGTCACCGCCACCGTCGCCGATGTACCGTCCGACACCCTATCAGCAGAATCCTACTTCTTCCTGTAACTCTCACTCTCTTTCTCGGATTTGGAATTTAAGTTTCGGTTGTTTTCTGTTTTCACTTGAAATTTTCGGAAATGAAAGAAAAATTTATTCAAACTCGTTTTCGCGACGGTGAAGTTGAATTTTCCTATTGAATTGAATGTGCAGCAGGAACAGGATTTGGCGTTAGGGTTGTTATAAAGCCAGAGTATAGGATCACACCACCGGTAAGATTTGCTTTGCTCGTATTGTTGTGAATTGATAGAATTTCTAAATTACTCTAAGTTGTAATGCTTGTGAGAATGATTTATAATTTATGCGGATACGATTACTTTGTGAAGTCCATTTTGGATGTTGGTGAAGCAGGGCGGATTTTACTTAAATTTCATTTTGAGGCTGTTCTTCCCCATGCCAACTGTGAACCTTCTAAAGCTTTGCGTAATTGACTTGGTCTGTGTCGATAGTTGAATATGATCTTTTAATGGTTTTGAACATTTGCAGCCTCATTTATCATCACATGCGGGAGATAATCCACGGAGCAACTTCCAATTTGATTTTGGATTAGAGAAAAAATTTTTGGCTGAAGCGGATAAGGATAACCCAAATTGGAGCAAATTTGGAGCAGAAAATCTCCCGCCTAAAGTTTCTGATTCCTCTACAACGAAGGTTTGTTCTTGATATAGAGCAAGAAGTTCCAAGTTATGCTGTTGTAACCGGTTTAATGATTTTTTTGCCTGTATTTATTGTGCAGAGGTGATAGGCTACTATTTGTTAGTTTGTGATTAAACTGGAGCACTGTTTTTCTGCATATAGATACATCGTTTTCTGTTTCCATGTTCCAATTCTCAGAGTGTACAACGAAACTTTTTTTGTTTAGGTTACTGCGTTGGATTCCATTGTGGGCAAATTTATAGCTATGGGGCTCAGCCAGGAGGCTGTTCCAATTGCTGTTCAAAACTATGGTGATAATCCAACCAAAGTAAGTTGTGATCCCTGAAACTTGTTGTTGACGTGATCTTTCTGAAACAATGTCATGCGTCTGTCTCTTTGTAATATGACTGACCATGTTGATTGAATAATTCTTTGTAAACCAAATGATTCTTCCCTTGATACTTTCTCTCCAGTTTATTACTGTGAACTTACTTTTAGTCAAAGCTTTTCCATGAATGATAAATACTGCTTACAACTTTGGATGTCTTGCTTGTCTTCTTCTGAGCACATCTCTCTGTCTTGGTAAGGAGAGTAGCATTAGTTTTCTGTGAATCTACTATTTAGTTCCTTTTACTTACAAAACTCAACGATCATTAAGGAGAGTACCTTTGGTATTCTGACATGTTATGCTTTAAGCTTAAATGGAAGAGTTTTGACCTAGTTTCAATTCAAGTCATAGTTTTCAGAAACTAGACCGAACTAGTTTCACCAGTCTAACTGAGGAGTTAAACGCAAAAAACCACCTCATTTCTATACTGGTGACAAAAGGTAAAGAACTGTGCAAAACTGGTGCACAAAACTAACCGGTATTTCAAAATTTTAAATTTTTTAAAACCTTTTTTTAATTTTTTAATTTAATCTGAAATATTTTTGAGGTAAATAAAACACACATTATTGAACATAGTTATGCATTGTTGTCAATTGTTATTAGTTTTTTTATCTTATAGAACATACATTTTATCCTTTTATATTAATTTACAATTTTTTATATCTTGATTTTTATAATTTTATACTATTTCATTACTTAAAATATTAAATAATTTTAAAAAAATATAAACTTTATTTCTATCAGACTGATCGAGGTTGGACATAATCGTGAATCAATGTCCTCACTAGTTTAATTGTCGATCTGGTTTTAAAACATGGATTAAAGTCAACTAGTCGCGACTTCTTGTTTGCATTCTGTTAAAACCTTTTCCACCTTATTTGGAGTCTGCTCCAAATCGAATATAAGTATTGACTCACCTTATAGGAAAGGACTTTTTTAGTATTGGAGAATTTCAGGAGCTTTCCCAGCTTGGATCTTATTTCAAGTTTTTTTTCTATCATTCTTAAGATGGCAGGACTAATCCTGCCCTAAAGGGGTGACATTCTGAAATGACATGGTACTGACCATATTGGATAAATGTTTATCGTTTAAAATTAATCATTACATTGTATTTTCTGTTGGTTGTGGTTTACTGGTTTTCTTATTTTTAGACTATTGCTAGATTTCTTTTATTTACGTTGACAGCTGCCACAGTAGTAGCCAGAAGATTTGTCAGTCTTTTATTTACTTCTTTTATTTACTCATTTGAAGGTTCAGGAATTTGTGAATGGATACACACTTCTACGTGAAATGGGATTTTCATCAAATAGCGTTGCTGAAGCTCTGGTTTTGAATGACAACCGTACGGACAGGGCACTAGCACATTTCCTTAGCGGTTCATCGTGAGACTGCTTGGGGCTATCATTTATTTGACCGAGGAATTTGTAGTTCCTTTGTACAATGATAAATAATGGGCAATCTGTTTTTGTCCTTTGTTTTACATACATATATGTTGGTGAGTTGTATGTAGAAATAATTGGTTTTGGTTTCAAAGGATTGGTATTTCTTCGAGATAACAAATAGATCGGATTATTACTTATTGTGATTCTTACGATTCTAATGAAATAGATAACTTGTATGAATAAAACATAATTACTTCACTGCCTATTTCATATACAAAAACATAGATCCCTTTTACTGCTGCAAAGAGATTACAAGCAAATTCCTACTAATACTTTCACTAGTACATTTTGGAAGTTCTTCAATCAATAGGCGTCATCTTCCCCTACGCCCACGAAAAGAAGGAAAGAATCCGAGAATGATAATGATAGAAACCAATTTATAGTAGCAAGCTCTTGTAAAAAAAAAAAAAAAAAAAAAAAAAAAAAAAACTAAGGTGGGAAGCTGAAGTTATATTTGCTGTACGATGCTGCATGCTTCTAGTAATAACTGCAAGTAAACCTTCAACCGCTCAACTTGCCATCAGTGCTCATAAGCTAATGAAACTATGTTGTTGAATGGACACCAAACAACTTTACCAGAGACATCTCTACGAATCACTCTGCTTCCAATAGAAATTAGAAAAAAAATTATAGGAAGCAAACCTTGTAACATGACTCCTGTGTGTTACGTTTGTGGTCTTCTCGCCAGAATGCACTGGAATCAACTTAAACACCAGCACAGATTGCTCCTGAAAAACATGATCATGTATGCTTCAAAATTTGACGATGTCAACCATTATGCTAAGAAAAAATCGCTATATAATTTCTATATACTTTAAGTCAGGCCATGTTTCGGTGGCTGTAAAACTAATGTCGTGAATTTTAAACTAGCACACACGCACATACAATAAACATGGAGAGAGTGGAAGACCTGTCGACCAAGATGAGCAACATAACTTTGCCTCATCAACATGCTTAACGTCAAGCCCAATAAACCAGGATCCAGCGCTCACATCATCGTGGGCATACGTACGAAGAATAGATCTGTCAATTCAACAGATTCAATATTGATGCAAAAACGGGAGCCAACAGCATAGGTGCAGCTAGGAGTATATCTGACCTGTTTATTGATATAAATTTAGCCAAAGCTCGTGATATAACATACATCTCTCCTGATGCATGACGAAAGTATCTGTTGAACAAGAGGAGGTAAATTAATAGATGACATGAAGAAAAATATTAATGATACATAGTGCAAATCAATGCATTCAAAGTTGAGCGCCGAAACACTAGCTGCGTGAAATATTCAACTCACATGATGGGATACAGTAGGGTTACATTTTTCATGGACTTGATATGTTGGCACTATAATAATGTATATCATGCCACATAATAGGCTTCTCCCAAAAAGATTGTTTTATTAACCAAAAGTAAAAAAATGTATTGCAGTTTTACATATTGGCTCAACAAACTCAGCCGCAGAATATCATGAAAAAAAGTGTTCACCGAAGATCCACTTTCAGCTATTTAAAACTGGTAACTCTCCATCATTCATGACTAATTCATACAAGTTTGACATGCAATAAAATCAATGCCTTGTTCAGTCATATGATATAAATGGTTGCTTAGCTTACGATTTTTTGTCACCAAATTTCCACCACTCTGGTTCATACCATTTATGGTTCCTGTCATATTTCAAGACACCAGTATGAGAATCATAAAATATATTTTCTTTAGACAGATAAAATAAAACACTTTAAACAACTTAAGGGGCTCACAGCTCAGAGAAAACTTCGCCTGATTTCATGCATCCCATGTAAACTCGAGGTTTGTCCAAATGAGTAGCAAGTGTAGCTCCAAAGGCATCTATGCAGGAAAAAAACATCTAATAAGCAATGACGGGTTTTGATTATTGATTTTGGAAGGGTCAAATACCATATTATTAACAAATAATAAATAAATATGAAAAAGTGAAAGAATATAAAAAAGTGAGAAGTCAAAATTGTAAATATATAATCAGGTATATTTAATGATAATTAAGATTTCAGGGTCAAAATCATAAATATATATATAAATTACAAAACTTTAGAGGGGTCATGACCCATTTCCCTCTTCTTAAGCTCTGCCACTGCCACCGGTGGTAAGACATATGTAGATCTAAACTGAACATTTTTATATAACTTTTTCCTTCCTTGTTTTCCTTAATATATCCTCTGTAATCTTGTTTATGCTTAATATTTAGAATTTGGTAATAGTTGTAGTCTAATATTAGAACCTTGGATAATTATATGCTAATAAGATGAAACTTGAAGATTACTCCACAAGAACCTCAGATGTTGTACAGAGAAATTATTTCTTTGTCCTACATGGCTCCAATAGGTTGTAGTTTCCGTCAGAATCATGACCCATATACATGGGAATGTTTGAATTAAGCTATTAAATATTATGTAACATGGAATTTGAATGTTTTAAACTCATCACAGATTTCTCTAGCTAAGTACGAAGTTCTTAACATAGCATAATAAATAAGGAATACACATTAGTATTTGCAGGATAAGAAAAACATAAAAGGACAGATCACTTCAACATAGGACAGGCAATAACCTCCTGCCACAAAAATTCAAAAAATTGATTATTTTCAAACAAGACTATCAATATTGTTTCGTAGATGAACTTGTAAAGATGATAAAAAAAGTACACTAAAATCTCATAGTCATAGCTACCATATTATATAGCCATCATATTAAATTTTCTTAACATACAGCTGCAAGAGGGCCTATGCAATCTGCAATTTCATATAATCACGAAGATCTCAAAGCTAAAATAATGATTCTAGGATATAGCTTAAACCAGAAGCTATTACTTGTAACTTCCCAGAAAAACAGTAAAAAATGCCTTTTAGCCTTTCAAAAGAAAAAAAAATAAAAATGATAATGATTTATAAATATTTAAACATATATTTCTTTAATTAAAAACATGATTGTTTATCTTAACAAAAAGCATAAATTAACGAGTCTTAGTATGTCTATAAACCAAGATTTTAGCTACTATCACTACTGAGCTGAGAGTAAACATGACAACTGCTTACGGCCCTCCGAGTTCATATCTTAAAACGTCAACAAAAAATTCATTACTTAAAATGATTTGTTTAATGAAAAAGGTCTCAAAAACAAAGGTATACCTATTTTATTTTTCCAAAAAGGTAGAAATCAGATTAAACCTAAGTGAATAGAAAAAAAATAAAAAAAAGAGCGGCATACCAAAATTGAAGAACAAATAGCCGAGCCACAACTCCAATTCAAGATGCAGAGCAATAAGGCCAAACGAAATGGTCACAGAGAGGAGGAAGATGGATGTGAGGATAGTTTGTATTGAGATTACAAAAAAGAAAAAAGAAAAAATCATCAGGTATAATTTTAAGAAGCTAAAAATCTAGCTTTAAGAAAAAAGTATCATTTTAGTGGCTTTTCCCTTTTTCTATTAGCCCATCCAAACACTATTCGAGTTCAAGAAAAACACCTTTTAATGATAAAATAACAATTTCACTTACAAGAAAAGTCCATCCAAATGGTCTACAGTTACATGTAAAAAGAAACGGTAGAACTAAGCACCACCGTATAATGACAACCAGAAACTTGAGGTCATATGATCATACTCCTATCTGTAACAACGAGTTCTCTAATGCATGGAAGGATTGAACAAAGGAGTTCAATTAAGAGATAGAAGGAACATGTGCATATTACAATAGCAATGAAATATTAGGTAAATTACATTATTAACAACTATCACATCATCCAGTTAAAGGAAAACTAACCAATATTTACATAGACATCATCGTTGACTTTAGCATAAAACTCAGCATCCCATTTGTCTGCAGCATGAGCAAAGAATAATTTAGCCTTCTTTGGGAATGCATCATTTGTTTCGACGTGATTATCCTGTCAGAAAGTTTTGAAGGTGAGCTAACTAGCTTATGCTCTTGAACCTTATTCTCCACTCAAAAGAAGCCACAATATACAGAACACCCGTTATGATTACAAGTTAAACAAATACCACTGCAAATGTATTACCTTTAATCTCATACAGAACATACATTGCAAACTACTGTATGAAGATATGAGTATAACATGCATATAATGATGTCAACTCGAGTGATACAAACTCAAATATAGATCCATATAGAAGAAAAAAGTATGCGATTTTGACCATTGGAAAAAGAAAAATAAAATAACAAAATACTCAGTGAAATAATTAATATGTTAAAAAGACAAGTTATTGAAACAGGTTCTTCTTGAACTGCTTGGTCTAACTTGACAGGCACAACAAATTGCTTGCATCAGAATTCTAAGTGGTGAAATTTTACCCGTTCTAACTTTTAGCAACTAGGTAGATTCAACTTTTTCATGAGCAGGACTTTATTGAAATCTAATCTTAAAATTATGCACCGGAGTCTGGAGGTTCTATTTCCAAATTCAGAATGAGACAACTAACAAGCATTTTCACAGGAAAGCAAATACCAAACGATAAACCTAGAATAACTTGTTGCAGTTCTAATAAAATAAAAAGTTTCAAAGCACATGAAAAGATAAAATCATTAAATTAACTGAACATACAAGAATTATGAAGTCATTAGTCAGCCCATTCTCACTATCAATGTCTTTATCTAGACTGTCTCCGCGATTTTCACTGCAAAAGTATACGTAACTTATAAGCAACTTATCAATTGCCACACTCACCCCAACCCCAACAAGTCTAAAAGTAGGAATTTGAACCTTCTACCAATAACAAATCGCACAATGATTCCCTTTCCATCTTCAATTTTCTTCAAAGATGCACCTATAAAGATAGTGCTTTAAAGTTAAAATCACATCCGAACTACAATCTTAGTGCAGGAAGCTGTAAACAAATTATCCAAGCAAGATATATTTGAAAACAAATTTTTGTGATTTCTGGAAATAACTTTGTTTAGAATCAATGAAATATATCAATACATGAGATATACTATAAAACAGAGTTGTTACTATAGAGTTTTCTCATGATTCATGATCAATCCTAGACATAAAAGGAATAAATAAGAGAACACTGAGTCTTCTTTCAAGTGTGGAAATGAAAAGAGGATCAAAGGGCAATGGATTTCTAAAATCGTTGCAAGTTCATATCTCCTCTCTACTTTAACCTTAACTGATTATAGATCTGTAGCAGTGGTGAAATAAAGCCATAATTTTATGTTTTTGATAGTTATCAAAATCTTAAGATTCACAATTTGAATATTCCGATTCCGTATTTGGACTATTAACGGATTCATATTCCAAGATGAATTTAAATGATTTTGAATCTTACATGAATGAATCTATGAAATTTATAGCACCTATACAATTCAAGGATTCATATGATTTTACCTTTTTACCAATTCTTATAAAATAAGTAAAAAGTCATATAAGCTTAAAATTTTAAATGAAAAGGAATTTAACAGAACACTTGTGAACTTATCCTATTTGATTATTTCACCTCTATTTGTCACTCACTCATTCAATGCATGTACACTATTTAGCTATTTAATTGTTTCGTTTCCACTCTCCTAAAATAAAGTCTTCAAAAACTAAGATATAACTAGTTTGTTCTGTATGACTTCTGCTTAAGTTGTTTTTATCTATTTCAAGTTTTAATTGTTTATACAGAGCACTATATATCAGAAAATGGCTTGGAAATACATGACTTGAATCTTGATTTGATAACATTTGAGTTCAGGCTTCACATATCAAGTTTCATATTTACTGCTATTCTATGTTAGATAAAATTAATAATAAGTTAATTATAGTTTATTGAAACGTTTTGTAACTGTTATTTTGAGACTCTTGATATTTTGCGTGATTATTGTTTTAATTTCTAATGGTAGAACGTTTTGGATTGTAGGGAGTAAATATTTTGGTTTTTAGAGAGCTAATACTATAAGTTTTGGGGAATGTTTAAATACGGTTTTCAATCCAACAAAAAATAATAAAAGTGAAGTTTATAAGTTTAAGATAAATTCTTTGTTATCAGGGAAGAGAAGGCAAAGAATATAAATACCGCTTCCCATCCATGCCTTGCGGATTGCATCTCTATTCTTCTGGCGGCCAAACTTTGTCAGGATACCTATCACAACCAACGGCCTTCTTGTAGAGTAAGTTCCATTAGTCTCTATCAAGGGTTTCGAAACAAAACCCTCCTGTTTAGCTGCAGCAAGTTCCGTCTCAAGGGCAGCAAGCTTCTTATGCTGTTCCCTACAACCATATAATTCAACAGTACCAGCCACAAAAGAAATGAGCAAACTTCCAAAATCCTAAGGAGATCATCAATAAAATCCAATAGCAACCAATAAAAAACCCTGGTAATTTTTTAAGCAACACGTTTTAAGTAAATTTAACTTACCTGCAGGCTATGATCTTCAATGTATCATCCACAGATATGGCAGATTGTCCCTAGAATGAAAAGCCCGCGGTTAAGTTAGCTAGAACAAGTAGTAGAAACACGAGTCCATCTCCTAATGCATCGAATTTTATAATACAGTATCCTACAGTTGATCTTCTACACATAGTGAATCCTAATTCCTTAGCAATAACTAATAATACAGACGCGATCAACTGGTTCTCAACCAGAACAAATTCAAACGCGTGAATTGAATCAGCAATCGCGAAAATTAAAATCCAGTGCAATAGGTCGCGATTCGTCTGTACGGAAATCGCGATAACGACCTAATTGAAATTGCAGCGAAAGAATTTAAAGGATTACAGATCAGTGAAGAACAGTGTGGTGTGAGGAGTGAGTAGAAGTAACTAACCGACCTGGCCAGTGATCCTGTCGAGCTCTTTGATGAGATAAACGCGATTCTCCGCATCCTGCCATAGCCTGAAGAGGAAAATTGAGCAAAATTAAATTAAACGCAACGGCAATGAAAGGAAGAGGAAGAGAAATAGAAGAACCTTCCAGCAACGTAGATAGAAGCGAAAGTGGCGAACATGGAGATGAGGAGTGCGGGAACGCGGGATCGATTGTTACCCATACTTGAGAGTCTGTGATTTGATCCCCTGCTCTGCATTTTTAATTCAATTCAATGCAATCTTACGAACGATAATGCTGTGTTATATATGCAGATGCAGAGAGAATTGGATTAGAATTTGGAATTCGATAGACGCAAAGAAAAGGATGAGAATACACTTTGGTGATGTTGTAGGTGCTTGTTGCTGGTCAACAAAGTCACCACTCATTCACTCGTTTGCCTTGTTACCATACTCGGATTTATTTGATGTATTAATTGTGTATGAACTCCACTTATAAACCTTTTAAACATTTCATTGAATTCGTATGACATTATGGAAAACATACTTTGTCGCCTCTTTAGGAAAAACTTTCAGAATAAATATAACTTTTTTTTATTATTTGATAAGAAAAAAAAATTAAAAATCAAAAATATTTTTTTTACTTTTTATTTAATAAAATAATATTGATTTACCTCAACAAAGATTTTCTTCCCTGTTTGTTTTAAATTTTATTTATGAGAATTTTAAAAGAATATTTGAATAAGGAAAAGCATATAAGCCGGAATGGAAAACACCAGTCTATTTGGTAAGAAAGAATTATTAAAAGAAAACGAGGGTAAGAAAAAAAATTGAAAATGGAAGGAATTTTGATGGGTTAAGAATAGAGAGAAACATTTTTTTTCTTGCTTCCATTAGATGAAAATTTAATAGCAACAACATCTTGAACATTTTGTGATATTTTAATTTTTATCAGTACAAAATCACTAGAAGTAGTTTCACAAAGTTAATAAATACTAACAATCAATTGCATTATATTTTTTTTTTATATCTATTTCTCTCTTTCTGATCTCTTCTCTATATCTGAGATGGAGTAAGTGAGTGTCTTTTCAATGTTCATTTAACAATTGTAATCTTGATTTTGCAAATGTTAAATGTATTAATCTTTCATTATCGACTTTTGTTAGTACTGCATGTTTTTGTTTTTATCTTGTCCAAATAAAGTACAAAGTTCCCTTCAACCCTGTCATGATACCTTATTTTGATTTTCTTGAAGAGTGATTATAGAGACTCCAAGATCAAATAGTAAGGTGATAATCCTTGTTTAGGTTGGTGAGAAACACTAATAAATAAATACTCACAAATTTGTATAAAAACTTAGTTATTGAAGTCTTTGTAAGTATAATATATATTCACCTCTTCTATTTTGCTTCACTATCACTCGAATAGTAAGTTACCTAGTTTTTGGGTATAAGTCAACATTTTTTTGTAATACAAAATAGAATGGAATGCGAAGTCAACAAAAGTACAGCATTATAAAAGATGTAATAGATCTACATCTTTCTAAGTACCAATACTAACCAACACGATTGGCATGTTTCAATTTCAATGAACATTGGCCGTGGCAAGTTTGTGAATTAAACTTGACAATTTGGAAGGACAACTTGGCAATGAGACTTGACTAAAACTCAATAACAACACGAGCAAAGTCATCCATATGAATATGTGATCAAGCATCAAGCTTTTTGCCTTGTTTTGTTTGACTAATCAGAGGAGAAACACACATTGTTGCCCTCTTTCCCATAATTCTGCAACATTAAGTACACCAACATGTGTATAAACGAATAGATTAGGAAGATATATATCAAAATCAAAGAGTAATAGGATGATGAGATCTAGTATTAGATGGAGAGAAAGAAAATCACAAGGGATAAAACATGTTGTGAAAGAAGAACCAATTTCAATTTCCCATTGGCCCTCCACTTCACTGATCATTGCACCATATTGAAACTTTTACCGAAAAGAGTGATGAAATGTTGTCGGAGATGAACCTTTCGACTCAACGTTGGTTGGATCCGCTTTGTATACATTCTTCCCTAAGTCAAACGAAGACAAGAAGAATACGTTGGTTCAGAAAGAAGCAAGGAAAAGAGGTTTGTGAAGAGGGGCGGCATATGGTTAGAGAGAGTAATGGAACTGCACTTTATTAAAAATATAATTTAGAAAGTATTTATTTATTTAAACAAATATGTTACTGTATTTTTTATTTTACATTAAATAATTGATGTAAAAACGATTACAAAAGTTTTTCTTCCAGTAGAGAGGCTCATGAAATGAATTTAGAAATAATTTATAATATATATATATATATATATATATATATATATATTAGCATATTAGTAATTCTGTAATTAAATTATATATATTTTTAGATATTTTGAATCATCTAAATTATATAACACATGTCAATGATATATGACATGATTTAAGGTTGAATATTAATATAAAATAAGCAACAAGTTACTGTTTAACATTTCATTTTATTAAATTAAATTAATTTGGTATCATTGGAATATGTTCCAATTATAAAAAATTAGTCAGATGAGAACACTTATTAAAAGAAATGAGAATCATAGATCATTAGATTTATTTAAACAGCATTATATTTTGAACACTCTTCTAATAACTAACTTTTTATTTAGATAATTTATACATGATTGCACATGTTAAATTAGTTATCACATTATTAAATAAAAAAATAATGTATGTATTATTATATATATCAACTAAAAACTAATTAAAAATATAATAAATATAATTAAAATAGTTATTATAAAAAGATGAACAATTTTACTACACATAATCCATATTTGAATTAAAGAGTATTACACACTCTAAGTATAATTAAATTAAATTACTAAAAGTATGAAAATTATATGTATGACAAAATTCTGGAACTCACACTGATCCAGCCAGTTTCTGACTGATGCCAACCAAAATCCCACGTCTATATTAAATTATTTCCTCTTTCAAGCACTAACCATTATTATAATGCCTAATTTTCATCTTTCATGACTTTGTTAATTACTTACTAATAATATAGCAAGCTTTTTTTTTATCTCTAACTGCTCCCATATCTTGCTGTCAAATAATTATAAAATATACAGATATCAACAAATTTTGGTTGAGTTTTGTGTTGAACTTTGACTTTATGGTTCCAAATATAGATAGTGCATGAATATGCGTCTCGTAAGGGATACGCGGCATGTTTTTTTTCTGCTGAAACTGTTCCTCTATCTGTATTTCTAGAAGTCGAGAATGTAAAATACCTCTATTATGTAAAGTGATTGTAAAAACCAGTGTAATGTGTAGGTGCGAAAGTGAAAATAAATACTCTTTGAAGATTAACTACTTTAGAAATAAGGTTGTAGTCGACGATATTTCAACACCAGATAACTATAGGATCAGAACAGTTTAACTTCAATGCCTGAAGACTTTTTTATGCAGATGTATTTAAAGGATTAAGAATTAAAGCTTCTAATATATATTTCTTTTGGAGATATATATGTCTCCAAGATTAATTAGAGGGATTGAAAATTAAATAGTATGCGTAGACTCAGGGATCTGTAAAAACTGTGTAACAGTTTAAGGGTCTCCTCCTATCTATGCATGAAATGCATGGGGATTTAACAGTAACGTTCTTTTCTTCTCAACTATGATCGGTTTCTTTCTTTTTCTTTTTCATTTTCAGCATTTTTGAATTGTTACATGATTATTGCTATGTTGTTTAAAAATAAGAAAGAGATTCTCTTTTTTTTTTTTTGGTTTTTGTTAAAGAGAATGAAAATTCAGAGGCAGAATCACTCACTTGGTCTGGATTGTTAAGAGAGTGGAATTTAAGAGAAGTTCCCTATTTAATATCGTAAGGAGTGGTATGAAAAATATGTATTATCTAATATATATATATATATATATATATATATATATATATATATATATTTACAAACAATATATATATTAGGGCATCTTAACTAAAATTATAAACTACTTTCTTCCTGTTCAGACTTAAGTCCGAAGAAATAAATCGTAAATTTATGTAAATCTGTCAATTCTATTATAAAAAAATATCATTAAATTAGAGATAATAATTAGAAATAAATTTGAATTTTTCTATTTACAATATTACTTCAAAAACCGAGACTTAAAACCTTACGATCGTATGGCCAATTAAATAATGTCTTTCATAATATGAAAAGCAAAAAATAAATAAATAAATCAATATGAGTTATTGATGACTCGATTCTTAAAGACAGTTCCAATTGGTGTTCTGAAATTTGAGAAATCGATTATTGGAAAGTGTAATCATTTTAATAATTTTTAGTATAGACTTATATGTAAGGATCTAATATTTGGTGTTCGGATTACTTTGTCATTGCCTTATTACGTAATAATAATCTCTTTAATTTAAAATATAGACGAATATAATAGTTTTATTTCAAGTTTAATTCCTTGTTTGAGATTTAAGATTGATAATTCAAGGAACTAATTAGGAGTACATTAATTAGTGTATGATTTTCTTTATGAACACACACATATTACTAAAACAATATTTCATACATTAATTATTATTTGTTTATAATGTTTGCGCTCATTAATATAACCTTTTTTTTGGATGTAAATCAAAATGTTAATCTAGACCTTGTTTTTTTTTTTTATTCCCACTAACAATAAGCATATAAGGAATCCTATTATAAAATATTTATGCACCATTTAATGGAATTTTATTATAGACCTGTATCACATAATATATACATAAGACCTATATGATTTTATTATATTGTAGTTTCATTCCTATTAAACAAAGTTTAGATCAACAAGGACAAATATAATAATGACTAATTTCATGTTTATCAAATGTTATTTTTCTTTTAGAGAATTTAATTATTTTGGTTTACTTTGCGTTGAGTATTTCGAATTCTTTAAGCATATGCATATATATAATGTCTGATCTCCTCATGATATTTATGGATATATTTTTCTTTGAAAGAAGCCATTGTTATTCTAGCATTTGATTATATACTAAGAGATTAATTTCTTTCCTATCCAACGAGAATTACTAGCAAAAAAGAAAGTAACAGACATGTATTTTTTTTTCTTAGAGTTTTATTTTAGTTTTTACGAGTTACCAGAATAAACCACTTCACTCACTCTACTTTTCAACCCCAATTAATATTGCAGAAGATGTATTAATGACACACCTAATTAGGCCGGCCATTAATATTAACAACTGCATCAGAATAGTGAAATTAAATACAATTTTTTAAGAAAAGAATGGTAGATTGTCATTACCCCTCCAAAAAAATACAGTAGATGCTTTCAAAGTTTCAATGATCAAAGGTTGCCAGATTAGCATCCATGTGATTCTGATCATACAAAGAATAATGGGATTGAATATATTTAGTGCCGACATGCATCAGCAAACTAAACTAAACGCAATGTACAACATGCCAAAGAATGATGTCAACGGCGTAGGTCATAAGAAATTCGAGCACAAACTGCTCCAAAAAAAAGGAAAAAACAAATCCAACAAAGAAGTTTCCAAATTGTTGCAGCTATGTAGTCACCGAAAGAGCAACAAAATTCCACTTTGCCCCCTCTTCTGAAACTACACAATAACTTGACAAACCAATCCCTATCGAACTCGGTTTGGATTCGACCCAGTCTTCTGTATCAGCGAAATTGAACACTAAATTCAACAACAACAAGAAGTTCCCAACTAATCTAAGAAATAGTTGAATAAGTCTATGGAAGGAGTATGCGGTGAAACAAAGCTGAAGTTTGAAGAAGGGCTTGGCAAGACGAAGGCACCACTACCCTCCGTGAAATTTCTCCCACTTTGAAACATGGGACTCAAATCGTGAAGGAAGCTAACCATGGATGGATCCGAAGACGGTGGAGAGAAAAAATTTGAAGGAATGGGAGAGAGTGAAGCCGGTCCCGGAGACAAAATCCCTTGAAACATGTTTTGCTGCGATCTTTCAACTACCCCATCACCCATAATCTCTAGCCCTTGCACATCGTTTATGATATTCATATTCCCATGACCCATCACCGGTTTCTTTCCCATAGGGGACAAGGCCTTCTCCACGGTGGCGTAACGAGCCGCCGGCGACATTCCGCCGCCGCTGTTGAAAGGGTCGTTGTTAATGATATTGGGAATCGCTTCGGAGTTGGAGGTGGAACCAGTGAGGCGTTGAACAAGGTTCATGAAGTCACTGGGTGTGGTGTGGATAACCTTTGGGGAAACGGTGTAGATTATGATGGGTTGGCGCGGTGGGGGTTGCGGGTGCGAAGGTTGTGGTGCCAACGGTGGTTTCTTGATTTTATGAGAGTCTTTGCTTATTCTGAGCGGTGTGGGACGTGGACCTTGGAGTTCTCTCCTGGGCGATCTTTGTGTGGGAATATGTGAGAAGTGATCCATGTTGGTGTGGTCAGAGGGGAATGTAATTGAGGAGTGGTGAAGCATAGTTGTGTTTTGATTTAAGGTGGAGAAGGAATATAAGGGCACATATAAAGAGATCTGGTCAATGATGAAGAGGGATTATTTTAATGAAAGATTATAAGTTTTTGGTAAAGTTTGGCTTGTTGTGAGGTAATTTTTAAGGGTTTTTCATAGCTACGGCCGGTTTCGTGATGTTGTGGTTGTCTGAACGCGTCTGGGGAGAGTTGGAAAAGGTCTCTTCCTTCCTTGGCATGTCATTGTAGGATGTGATGACGTGGGAGCGCAAGTGTGTGTGTGTGTGTGTGTGAGAGAGAGAGAGAGAGTTCAGATGCAAGTGGATCAGTGTTGACAACTTGACAATGGCCCCTCTAATGCTGTGTGTGGTTTGTATTCTGTATCATTCAATGAGAGTTTAAGACTTTTCACTGCAACATAGTTATGCACTGAATCTAACGCCAAACCCGTCCTTCATCTACATTTCTTTCTTCTTTGGGTGAAATTAAGTGATGTGTAATTGGATTGGTTTGATGGTTAATTTAGGTTATTGATGTTTGCTTATTTACACATGCGTCATGTATATGATTAGTCAATACTATGTTATCAACCAAGATAAAACTAATGAGCATTACTTGCTGATAATATATGTTGAGTTTATGAAACAAAATTGGACATAATTTTCGAAATATGTAAAAGCACACCGAGTTTTAAATATATGTCAAAGTTTAAAATATGAGATTAGTTCACTGTATTCAAATGATTAGAAGTTGTGAAATAAGAATGTCTCAACCATATTAAAATAAGTAAAAGACCTAAATTATAATTATATTATAAAAGAGAAATGTTATAAGTTATTATATGAGTTCATATATGTTACGTTTATATGAGTATTTTATGTATTTTTTTTTTCACTCTATTAATTTCAGATTTATATTGATAGATTTGAAATTTTGTAATTGTTACCGTGTTTTTTTATTTTATGAATTAGTCGATGAGGTAGGAGAAGGTTACGAGGTTTAATTTGTGGATGCCACAAAACAAGTGTGTAGCCAAAGGAGGGAGTGAGTCTCATCGTGGGATCCACTCCACTACCCTTTTACTTGTTCAGTTGATCCATTTCATCGGAACTTTTTTACTTCTGACTGCGTCCAAATTAGGTCTTCATCGTGTTCTTTCAATTTGTGAAAATAATATATAGGAGCAAGTAACAGTGAAGCCAACAAAATGAAGTTCAGGTTTATTATTTTGCTGAAAAACATGATGATTCAGAAATCCTTTATACTAACACAAAAGCATGCGGTGTGAACTCTAATATTTACCAGTTGTATTTTGATCTCAGGAAATCTCTTTTTTGGAATAAAGTTTTGAAAAAATTATAAGGGATAGTTACGTGTGTGCATGTATATATTGAATTTTTGAGTTTGAATCCTTTGGCAATAATATGTTTTTGCAAAATAGGTCTGGATGCAGCCTATTCAGATTTTGGATTTATTTCAGTCAGCACGGCGTTTTATTTTAGCTAAAGACGTGTCATTTGTGATTTAATCTTCCTTTAAGTTGATGCTTGGTCAGTATTTCAAAAATAATAAATCTTTATTGAGATTGTAAATGTTAATTATTGTCCATTTTCATGATAACAACTTAAAAATTTTTATAATTAATATTTTTTAAATATAAATTTCTGCATTTATTGATTATATTTAAAAATAGATTTTCTGTATGTTTTTTTAGCGATGAACCTTTAAAAAAAATGGCTCGTTAATATTTATAATTTTTATTAATATTAATAATTTTGTACTCAAACTTAATAATTATTAAATATTATATTTTTTATTTTTTATATTTATTTATTATTTATTCATAATATATTATTTAATCCTTATTATCCTCGCTACGTCCACATTCAAAGTTTGCGAAATTAATAAACTCATCTTATTTAAGTATTAGTATAAAAGGAAGGTAAATTAGAAATATATATATATATATATATATATATATATATATATATATATATATATATTATGTTGTTCATGTAACACTATATATAGCAAAAAACTTAGGTTAAAGTCTGAGATTTTGTCTGTCTGAATTGTCCCTTTTGTTTGCAGGACATCAAAATCTAATCATTTGAAGAAGCAATGCATATTATGCGCCCTTTAGGAAACCTTATGACTCTCAGAAAAGTCATGTTTTGACGGCTTTACTTCAAAGTTGAAATAGCATGCATGCTTTGACTTTGCATTTATAACATATACACATCTAATAATCTACTACTCACTAGTCTACACGTTTTGGCTATGACTTTGTTTGGATCTGTTAAACACCTTCACCACTATCTTTAATCACATAAAACCCTAAATTTATTTCCTGCCTTAGGTTAACAACGTCCTCATCGTATATTTTTCTCAAAAAATGATTTTTCATTTGTCTCAATTGTTTTAGAAAACACTTTTTAAAAATTTATTATTATAATTCTTGGCGTAAAAGGCAAGGAAGCTTTTTTATTTATTTTTTTTAATTTATTGTCATAACTTCTAACAAAAGGTCTGTGCATGAAAACGTTTTGAAAGCAACAATTCAATCAACTACAATGAAGTTATTTCGTAACAAAAAGGAAAAACGATTCTCTTATGCATTATAGGTGATGTTGAAATCGTGTTTAATTTTCTTAAATAATGTACTATAGGGCCACCATTGTGTAGGTTAAGAAGCACCTAATTAGGTAGGACTTAGTGATTTAGGGTTCTAGATGATCCATTTAGTAAGAAAAAATAGTCCTTAGAAATTAGTAACTACCCTCACAAAATAGTTATAAAAAGGTCTTCTACTCCTACAGTCAAAGTAGCAGATTCGAACAAAGCGATTGCGGAGGATGATTAGTGGGGCCATGCAGGAACACTTTAGAAAAAGGACATGGTCATCTGAGATTTGCTGAAACAGTCTTATCTTCTTTCATGGTGAATTGAAAGAAAACAAAGGAGAGAGAAACATTTCAATTCTTAACATGCCATGTTTGAAAGTTATGGATATCGTAATTAAATTTACTGGTGTTTCATATATATATATATGGCATCTAATTCCTTTCCTAACCAAATATATTTATTGAAAATTTCAATGAACAGAACTAATCAACATTTAATCACATGTGAAATGAAACGAGTAGTGGAGCTTCGAAAAACTTTAATTGGACTTTGACTTTGACTTTGGGGCCAAAAGATGAATGTCAATGAAATTGTTACTTAATTAAAATCATTACGAAATTGTGGCAGGGTTTCAACCTTTTTTTTAATAACAAAGAAAGAACATTAGAGAACGTAAGTGAATGTGATGCAGGAAACGATAATCTTAATTAAACCACATATGGATGTTAACAATTATGTTTTACTTGCAAAGGTTGCATGTGGTTAGAAACACGTGGCTTTCCTTAAATCGTGATCCGTTTAAACCTTTGACAATAGACTTTTTCCAGATATTTTATTTTTAAATTATAATTGGCCTGATATACTTCCGATTTGTGATTTTTTTTTCCTACTAAAATCGAAGATGGTTGGATCCTAATTATTATCAATACTAAAGAAAATTTTAATAATTGTAAGGGCTTTAGCAAAAATTCTCAAAAAGCTTTTGTAATAACTGTGATATCAAATTTAAACAGTGAACGAGTTTGAGTAAAGCCCGATAATGGCCCAATATGTATACCAAGCCTGAAACTTTCTTACGGCATTATTATGTCGCAGCTATTTCTATCTGTACCTCTCCACTTTATTTCTTACACGCCCTTTCATTTTAATTTTTTTGTTTATCAAAACTACCTTTGTTCTCACACAACTCTCTCTCCCCTTCACCATTTCAACTTTATATACAATGCATATTTATTAGCATTATCTTTTTACAAGTCCCCTCTTTTCATATAGAAAAAGAAAAAAAAACCCCTCTAACTTATCTCTTCATGTCATTTATTTTTCAATTAAATTTTATTGTAACAATTTTCATTTCAATTTTATTTGATTACCTAACAAAAAAATCAAATTGTAAGATTAATTTATCTTATTTATCTCATCTTGATTACCTTTTGCTTACAAGACGAGAAAAGTAAGACCAAAATTCTAACTCGTATAATAAACCTATTCAATTATTCACAACAGAAAATACCAATTAAGCTGAACAATTGTGTTAAGATAAAGAGATACTAGTTTTTTAAACTTTTCACTATTATTATGCTTCTAGTATATAACCTTTTTATCGTTGCAGGTAGTCATATCAAGCCAAACCCTCCTTTTAGACATTTTTGTATTAATTCAATGGGTTTATTGGAAAACGCCACTATAGGTAACCTTTTGTAACTTTAATTATTTAATCAGTGTAATAAATGAAGATAAAGGATTGGAAAATTGGTGAAAACGAACAATTGGTAAGGTTATATATGGTTGTGGAAATATGTGTGACAAATTTAAATTATATACTGTATCTTACATATATATTTATTTTCACGCAATTCAACTAGTAATAACCAGTCTGGCTTTTATAAACTTAATATAGATAAATGATTTTAAAATGATTAAAATAAGTTAAAAAAACAATTTATGAATATATTTTAACTTGAATTGTATAAAGTATAAATAGATTTTGAAAAAAATTACTAATCTTTATTTGTTTATTTTTAATGTTTACTTATTCATCAACAACTATGTTTTTTATATTTTGAATTTAGATAAGCCAATATAATATATTAGGATTGAACCCCATCGAGAAACAACAACAACAGCAGTTTAAAATTATTGCACTAGGAATCGGTTTGTTGTATTATCAAAAGTAGGGTATTCAGCCAAAATATCCAAAAAATGAATACATGAAGCATATATGAAAAGCCAAAAATTGAGACAATATTTTATAAAAAGGGTAACCTCATAATATGATTTAATACGTAACCATTAAGACGGTGGTGGATCCATAATCATATTTTTCAACACTAAAATAAGTATCATCACGTGGAACGAACAAACGAGCGTAGGTAGCAAATTGTTTTGAAGTTGAGTCTCGTATTTCTGCACACCCAACGTCATGTTTGTGATACGCCCCATGCGATCAACTTGGGCGAGCGGTGTTGTGTTCATCGTGCTGTTCACGTTGGATCAATAATTTATATATACTAATATTTTATAACATCATGCCAAATTATACTTTAAATCCCATGCTATCATTGAGACTTGTCATGGTGGCTTTGTTTATACTTGTGATTTCTGAACTTGAAAAGCTGAAACCACATGTGCTATTACTATCATTATTATGTTGAGGCATGCACGCATTCGTTATAGAGGCAATGTTATAGTTGAAACATATATATATGGGATTCGCATATTGATGATCATGTTAGAGGAAGTGAAGTATATACGTACGAACTAACTCTAATTTGATTTGTTGGAACATCGTTAACTATGCTGTAATGATATAAAAGAAAAGAAATAGGAAGGAGTTTGAGACGTGGAAGCCACTGATCCTCAAGTATGAATACGTATGATAGCATCTTTCGTGAAAGCAACGTTAAACCCCCACGTGCCTCGAATGTTCTCTTTAGATCGAATCTCCACTCCTACGATTGCAACCTTTAGCTGCACCCTGCTCTCTTTATTTTCCTTTCATGTAGTAACATCAATTCCTTTCCAACTTATATTTCTATTTTAATTCCACATACCACTGCAATGCATCCATTATTGCAAACTTCACCATTTGTATATCTTTATATCTCCACTACGACTTCACTTGGACTCACCATGATTTTTTATTTTAGAAGCAAGAGATGAATCAGAGATTAATTAATTGTTTAGTTTGATTGGATTGAATCCTGGGAAGGTGAAGTTCTCCGAACTCGCAACGCGAGTTTGAAGTCAACCAAGTATGAAATTCAATGAAGTGAGACTGAATAGGTTGACCGCATAAGGATGACTTCAACAAAAGAAGAATGCAAACAAGTGCGACGAAATCTATGGTCATTTGCAGATTTACTTTTAGCATTAAAAAAACGAAAGGATGGAAGATGTGCCACGTATCCCCGTTATGCACGTGGTCGTGCTTTCCATGCCCGCAACCTTCCATATAATGTATATATGTGTGTGTGTGAAACTTGTTCCATAAACCGTAATTCCCTCATCTGCATCAAGCACTCTGCATTGTTTCACACATTCTTGCCGACTATAATGAACCTGTATATTTATATGATGGAAATCACACAATTGCCCTCGTTCCTAACCTGTATTTGGTAATGCAGTGCAGCTGAATTGAACCATGAATTAGCAATAACTTACCAAATCTATAATGAGCTGAACCTGTCGAATTGTGAACCTTCTTAAACATTAAGTTTTTCTCTTTAAAATAACTGAGTCAATTGATATTTTTAAGCTTGTGTGTGAATGAACAAAAGGTGAATATATATATGATGGAATGTGATGAAGATGGAGGTAGCATGCATGAATGATGGATGATTTGGCACGCGGCGAGTAAAACAATGAGTGGGGAAGGAGGGGTTTGACTTATCAACCTCAATCACTCTCACAAAGTAACCCGAATGAAGAAAAATACAGAGTTGAAGGAGACACGCCCCATCCGCCTATGAAACAGCACAGCATAACATGAAATTCACATCAACATCACAGACTCACACACACACACAAACACATGCACACCCTTCCTTAATTTTAACGATTCCCCAACCGCCCACGTTCCTCCCAACGCCTCCCCCCCCACATATATTCACACACCAACAAATCCCTCTCCAATCTCACTCTCACTCCATCCCCATTCACCCTTATATCACACCTCTCCCAAATAAATGTTCCCACATAGCCTTATAGGTGCTGCTGCCCTTCAACAGATGTTGCATCATCATCATCATCATCACTTTCCAACCCCAATGGAACAGCGTTCCAGGTGGAAACCCAACATTGAGGTCGCACCCAATTGCCCTCGTTGCGCTTCCACCAACACCAAATTCTGTTACTACAACAACTACAGCTTGTCGCAGCCCCGGTATTTCTGCAAAGCCTGCAGACGCTACTGGACCAAAGGTGGCTCTCTCCGCAACGTCCCCGTCGGCGGCGGCTGCCGCAAGAACCGCCGCGGAAAGTCCTCCTCGCGCCACCACCCAACCCAACGCTCTTTCAACTCCGCTTCCGAGGACACGGAGTCTTCACTTGATGATGCCCATCCAAACAACAACGGGTCTCGTGAAATTGACATGGCCCTTGTGTTCGCCAAGTTCTTGAACCCCAAACAACAAGTTGCAGAGGATCACAATGGCTCGTCTTCTTCCAACAATTACTTAACGCCTGAGAGCGTTGAAACCGAGAGTGATATTGCAGCTGTTCAGTCCCAGAACAGGGGTTCGTCGGATCTTGTCCTCGAAGAGTTTGACGCTGATGCAGTGGTGGGAATTGGGAATTTTGGAAGGGAGGAATTGAGTTTGGGTGAGATTAACGAGTTGGAGAGGCTTCTGGGTGTGTGTGGTGATGAAGATGGTCTCTGGTGTGATGCTACCTTGTCCTCTTCGGTTACTTGGGAACTTCCCGTGAAGGAAATGCCGTTGCAGGAGTTGGAATACTCGATGCCGTTGTTGAATGAGAATGATGACCAATTACTACCCATCACTTCTTCATCTACCATGAATTCAATGAGCGACACTTGCTGGAGTACTTGGAGTTCCTTTGATCCTTCAACCATGGAGGTGTTCTCGTCAACTCCTTGATGAATTCGATCTGATTTTACATATACTTTTTATTTATAAGATGTGATGTTCTTCTTATTATTTGAAAAGAAGAAACCGAGGCAGTTAATTAATTACTGCTAATTACCTTACATGTGTTCCTAATGATGAAGACAATTATGAAAAAGTAGAATTAATGTCGTAGAAATTGTTTATGTTTTGGATGAAGAATAAAGTTGTATTTCGGCTGCGTATAGCCATATCGTGGAAACGCAGTTGAAAAAGGTATACTCTGGGATCTGGAATTGTGTTCACACAGCCAATCTGTACCTTTCAGAATACATACGAATGATATAGATACTACTATCAAGTTGAATATTTTATATACACTCTTAAGTCTCATATCTTACGTTATATACACCTTGGTTTCAGTCAAAGTTTTAGCTACAGTTCAATTCTATCAAAAATATGTATAAAATTACTACTTTGATTAGCCTCAAAAAGCTATTATGTAAATATACGAAATGGGTATATGTATTTAACACGGCAATATAATAATTCTTAAACATATAATCTTTAATATACATATACTTAAGAAATTTAAATGATCGTTTGATTTTGACGTGTAACTAGTAACAACTGTTTTAATCGTTTTTTAGATGAACAACAACAATTTTAGTCGTTTTGAGATGGATGACATGTCTTAATCGTCTTCATTTTCATACAACAAAGGTGATGCATGTTTTGGATTCAAAGTCGATGATTTTGTTTCTCATTTTAACCGTGCAAATGAGACTTTTAAAGATAGTTAAAAGATTTTTTATAATAGTTTTTTAACCACGAAACAATTATCACTAAAAAAACATGACAATGAACCGTCGTTATATCAACTTATACAATGATGGTTCTTGTGGTAATCATTTTTATATATGTTATCAATGCATTCTTTTCTATTTATTTATCTTACATGAACTTCAAACAAGTTTATAAACATAAAAGAATAATTGTTAATTTATTTATGAATTGATTAAACATATATAACAAATTACCAATCTCAATTTGTACCTCACTTATCATCCAATAAATTCCATAATAGTCATACTTATTGTTGCAGTTTTAAATAAAAATAATTAAATAAAGTAATTGACATATAAAAATAATAAATAACGTGATTAAAATACTTTTAGTTATGTCTTCAAGTAGACATTAATAACATTAAAATACTAGTTAGGCAGAGTTATGTAAGCTTAACCTAATATTGGTAAAAAAAAATATACATTTTCCTTATCAGTATACTGTTATATTTTATATTATATTATATATATTTTAGAATTTATTTACATAAATCAATAAAAATATTATTTTTCATAATTATTAATTTTTTTCAATAATACCTTATCATTTCATTCCCTCTCTATCAAAATTACTCACCATAACTTATTTCTCTCCATAATAAAGTTTTTTTTTCTAAGAGAAAACGTGAGATCATTTAAGTAAAAATAATATTCACTCCATGTTTTTTAATCTTAAAAATTTTAACTCTAGAATTTTGGATTTAAAAATTATTGAATTTTTTTTTCTTTTTACAAGAAAATTAATATTTTATATTGAATCTTAACTTCAAACCATCACGCCATGCAAAAATTGATTTCCATAATATGATATAGAATTATTGAAATTTTGTAATTTCATTTAACGATCTTCTTTCCTAATTAGATTTATTGTATCTTTCATCATAAATTTGATTTTTTACAATTAAATAAATTTTATTGATTAATGAGAAATTAGATTAAAAGATGGAAAATTTGACACATATTATTGATTAATATAAATTACAGTTCACTTATGTGATATATTAATATAACTAGGTACAATAAGTTAGGATTCATTTAATTCTCATAAAAGGAATATATTAATTCTTTTAAAACTTTTCAAAATATAATATTGATAAAAAAAAATAACTAATATAATCTTAAACTTTACAAATCACATATAATTCTCCTTTGAGACCAAGGTTTCAGTTATTTCCCAGTTGCAATTTTCTCGTGAACATGCTCTCGGTATTTTTTGTGCATGGTAGAAGATGACTTTATTGTTCTTACAAGCATTTATATATTAATAATTTCTAAAAAAGAAGTTGAACAACAAGCAAACGAAATCAACTAGGTTGTCTTTTCTTTTAATAAATAGTGGTTGATATAATTATTTTGAAAATAATAAATACCCATAACAATTTAAAATTGAGTACATTATATGTAGATATTCAATGAAAATAATTTTTTATTACATTGATTTTTTAGGGTTCCATAATTTTAGGTGTGTGCTACACAAGTAGCATCTAGCTAACACTTAAATTAATGAATTAATTATAGCATATACTCATGCATGTCATAATTAAGTAAAAGATAATAGGGAAAGTGTCTCACCATCCAACTTACTTCTCTCTCTTCTATACCCAAAATTATAGATGAAATCTTTAATATCAATTAAGTGCTCACAAGATTGGTTGTTATTTCCATCTCATGTTAAACAAATATTTATATTTTTTATTTTAAATTTAAATATAAGGCTATAAATTATGTATAAATATCAATTACTCAGTGCTTATAACAAGTGTAATGCTCTAAGTAAATTGAATTGAATCATTTAACACATAATTAACAAGCTTATTACATATTAAGTTATAAATTTATAAGGATTTTTGTATTTTAATTATTTCATTTCTAAATAACAATATTCGTGATTGGACAAAATTTTATGGATTATTTTATATTGTAGTTGACCTTTATTTTCAAAATTTTAAGCAAATGGATACATTAATTCCATTAATGGAGGGCAACAAATCTTTGAATTTTATCATCTGAAAAGTGAGAGATGTTCCTTGAGAGAAAAACTGTTTGATTAGAAAATAAACTGCATAATGATAAAACACACACATATATATATATATATAATAGATTTAGAATTGGAACATTTGATTTTTCTAATGTATGACTAGAATTTCGCTTTATACATTAAAAATACATAATGTTCATTTAAAAGAGTAAATTATAACTGTTGGAAAGCATGTGATGGAGGAGGACCCATGCATGTGTGCCATCAATCATCTTGAAGGTTAGGATTGTTAAGCAACACTGTCAATCACCAAATTGAAATTGTATTTTGTTAGCATTTTATCGTACCATACCAACTTCTTAAGGTATTAAAAGTTTCAAATAATTTTTGTGAATGTATAAATTGAAAATAAAGGATGATATCTAAATTTAACTTAGTAATAATTTTAATAATAATAATAATAATTAGACATGATTTTTTTTCAATAATTGGGTATTATAATGTTAAATAATTAATAAAAAAATAGAAGGAATAATTAAGAAAGGGAGAAATATACCTGCAACCATGGGTGGATACGTGTCCAAAAGGGTACTAATTGCTTTCAACGCCTTCTGCAGTTATTAGAGCTCCCATGAATTATGAATTAATCATATGCATGTATTGAAGTGGAAATTTTTATAATACTAAAGAAATAGGTAAGGTTTGGTTGGGTTTGACTCTGATTTATAATAATAATAATAATAATAATAATATTATTATTATTATTATTATTAAATTTTGGTTATAGATATAGAGAGAGAGAAAAAACTTATAATATTACATATGTTCTCTTGTGTCAGAATAAAAACCTGTTTATGTTTTATAATAGGTTAATATGGAAACCTGTTTAATAGTTTAATGTATAAAAAAACTTATAATCAGACATGTGTTTTTCTTTCTTTTTTTTTCATTTTCAAATGGGAGTAATCTTTTTTCAAAATTTCTAAAATGATAAATTTTTAAAAAATTATAATTTAGGTAAGTGGTGGTGTAAAAAAGAAGACATACCTTATAATATGATTTAGTTTTTTTAAAATGAATAAGTTGTATCATTTAAATAAGAATTCTAATTTTATATCATAATAAAATATATTATAATTAATAATAATATATTTTATATTATAAATATAAAATTATAATTCGTACTAGACACACTATGACTTCTATAATAGAAGTCGTATCCCTAATCCAACTTCTTCGTTTAAAAAAAGAAAAAAAAATTAAATCCTGTTAAAAAGTGTAACTTCTTTACATAGAGCTGTACTTATAACACGACTTCTTCTTCATAACACAATTTATTTACATTTGTAGTTTTTTTTTAATTATTTATTTTTAATAAATTTGAAAAAAAATTACATCATTAAAAAAATCAACATATGTTCTCACCTTGTGGCAGAATAAAAAAATTAAGAAATGTTTTATAAATTAAAATAATTAAATAATAAAAAGAAAAATTAAAAATCTTAAATTAAAATAATTATCATTTTTTATTATAGTATAAACAACACTTGTTTTTTCAAAAATAATAATTTAATCATAAAAATATCTAATTCTTTAATAAAAATATATTGACTAAATTAATTTAAATAAAACTAACTTTGAAATGTCAAATATAATATATAATAAGAGCTTTATAAATCAAAAATATAATTTTAAATCTTAAGAAAAAGAAGTAAATTACATCATGACAATGAAAATAATTTTTGTTTTATTATAAATTATTATATAAAATTATTTTATTAATTTTTAACATATATATATATATATATAGTATTTCTTATATTATGTAAATATAATATAATAAACGAATAATTTTATTATTATTTATAAGTAATGTATGTATTACTCATGTCTAATATTTTTAAAATATTAAAATTTAATTATTTTTATTATAAATTTTGTTATTAATGTTAATCATTTCTGTAACTTATTTTGTCATTAATGATATCTATTAAGAAATATAGTATAAGAAAAATATGCATTTAGAAAAAAAAATGTAAAAACAACACATACCAATGTAAAAACAACACATACTAGTGGAAAGAGAAAATTATATATATATATATATATATATATATATATATATATATATATATATATATATATATATATATATATAAGTGTTCATACCTTGTGTTTTCATTTTTTTATACAATAAATATTATTAACGGACTTTTTTTAAGCGTAAAACATTCTTAATTGAATTTTTTAAAAGAAGTATTAACCTTACTTATCAATAAAGTGTCCAACCTTGACCAACTAAACCATAAACACATAACCTATTTTCACTTCTATTTATTATATAAATCTTAGAATATTACATAATATTAATTTTACATAAATCTCACCAATTAAAAAACTACAGACTTAAAGGTTAGCTATTAGATTTTCATCACTTTTTTTGATGGCTTATCACGGATTTATAATTTAAACGATTGGATTAAAAATTAATCATGAAATTTTATCAACATTAAATAAATTTAAAAAATTACAAGCAGGGCTATTCAGAGGAAGATCAAAAACAAAATTGGTATCTTGGTTGAAATGGTTTTTTTAATAGAATTATTTGTGTTGAAAAAAATAAATAAAGTAACAAAATATTGAACGAGGAAGATACCAACCAGTACAAGTTCACCCGGTTTTATTGGAAGTTCCTCCAAACCGGTTATCTTGCTGCATATAGCCACACACATAATTATTGACAAAATAAATAAAATTGGTTTGAAATAAAATTGTTTAAAAAATGTTTTTTTTTTTCGAAATTCAGATTTTAATGATGAAGCAAGGGTTTGGACAAGTAGAAAGTAAAAATCATCATGATTTTTACCAAATAACCAATCTTCCTTCTTCTTCTTCTTTAAACCAAAAGAATCTGCACCCTTTTGTGAAGGGTAGTTTATTTTTCTCCTCTCTGAACACTGCAAAGAAGGTGAGCGTTGTTGTTGGGCCACAAACCCAAAGTATTGGGTGTTGTTAATCAAAGTGAATAAATTGACACAAAATGAAAACAAGTGACGTACCCAAGTGCCAAAACACAGTAGCCATAAGTTTTGACTCTTTCACATCTTCCACTCTGATATCTCCCAAAGCAATTTTTATATTTTCACCCATAGCTATCATCACGTTCTCCCAAAACCTTATCACGTTCGCCTGAATAAAAAAAACCTCGCCATCTTTATCCACGGAAACAATCATTCTATTGATTAGTGCCAAATACAGAAATTCTATTAGAATCTTTCAAGTTAACCAGCGTTGCGTTTATTCACTTATCAGGGTCTTATTAATGTGTATCATATCAACAACACTAACTAAGAAACATTAAAAATTAGTCATCTGTTCTTATTTATACCCATGTAATTTCTACATTTTACTTTTTCTTAACCAGTTTGAGGGGGAAGAAAAAGAAGAGAAAACGTTTAAACTAACCTTGCCTTTGCAGGGACTATAGAAGAGGTAGTCCTGGTACTCACAATCGTCAGAAATTAACTGCTGCAAATCCTCGATATTTTTGGTATTGAAGGCGTGGTAGAAATCTTTCACAAGGTTCTGTATAGGTGAAGGTGGCAGCGAGTCAGGACTTTCCCCAGCCCATACTTTCCATTTCTCACTTGGGTTTTTCCATGACTCTATTTTGGGCCTATTTTGTCCCACTAATGCTAATGGAAACAACGTAGCCTTGCCAATTTGGTGTTTGTCAACCAAGTTGGTGAAACAAGTACTCTTCTTCTTCTTCTTGTTTAATTGGGCAATGCAAGGTCGTGTTTCCATCATCTTCATTCTTGAGGCATTGCAAGGTCCTAATGTGGCAGAAATTTTGGGTAGTGATGCCATTGCTTAGCCAAAAGAATTTGGAAATTCAAACAAGGTACCCGTTATTTTATTTTTCTAGTTACTTTACTTGCCAATTGGTCTTTGAATCTAACTATAATAATGTATATAGTTTTCTATTTAAGGAACGAATCGATGCTATTCGAGGCATGCTTTTTTGTTTCTTTCAAGTAATTATATATATTATATATATCATCTTCATCTTACTAAATTAATTTTGTAAAAATAAAAATACCTCATTTTAAACTTCAATTGAATTATGAGACCGGATTTTGATAATTATGAAACTATTCATTTAAAAATGAATGAATAATCAATTGATTTTAATTTTGATAAAAAATTATATATTAAGAGATAATTAATTTAATTAATTTAATTAAAATTAAAGGCTAAATAATTTAAATTTCATAAAAATTGATATATCAATATATAATATATTTAATTAAATTATTGAATAAAAAAATTTAATTTTGAGAAAATTTAATAACTAGCCATCATAAACAATTTTTAGAGATAATGTGGATAGATTAACTGCTGAAAGTTATATTTATTTTTAGGGTGCCTATTTAATTTTCAAACTAATAATATTAAAAAATAGATTTTTTAATTAAAAAGATTATCCACGTAAAGTAAACTTAAATCAGGGTCGAGTATAGCTTAATCAAGAAAGTTACTTGACATATAATGAGTTATATTATAAAAGAGGTTATCATTGAGTGGACTGAGACAATTAACCTAGTCGTTTTGACAACTTGAGACGCATACTAAATGCATTCTGATGGATGCATTATCTGAACATTTGTGATTGGAAGATCATACATGTCAAAGAACTAAACGCATACTAAATCCACATCATTTCGGGCACACTAATTATTGTTGTGCCAGATAATGCAAGGACAAACAAGGGTCCCTCAATCACGTCACAAGAATGTTTGCTTTTCTATTATATTTTCCATTCTCCATTCAGTCAAGGTTTTCTCCTGCTTTACCTTCACTTCTCTGGGAAAGTGAAACTTGCTCAATTCATTAGTTCAAATGCTACAGACAAAACGTTTCTGTGTGTGTGTTCCATCAGCAAAGCACACACACATGCATGGTGGGATATGTTACTTATTTTGTATTATTTGTTTCTTTGCTCTTACACACACTAATTATTATCACTACCTTAACTTCCCTCCCATGTTTTTTCTAATGACTCTTCAATTCTTTCTTTTTCTATTCCGAAGAAAATAACCTTTTCATATGTTACATTTTTAAGTCCATTTAATTTTATTTTAAAAAAGAGTCATTCAAATTTGCTTATATCAATCAATAATAGCAGCAAAACTAATAGATTATAAAGTTTTACAGAATAATAGATTTTTTCAGTAAGTAATCAATTATATCAAATTGATTCCCAAAACACTTGTTTTCGAGAAATTTAACCTTTTATTTATCTTAAATTTTGAATTAATTCATTAAGCTTTAACTTCATAAAATTGTTTCTACGAAAACATGATATTATATTTAAATGGCTAATCATTTTTTAAAACCTTTTATAATCAATGTGGAGAACAATTGATTAAAAAACTATGTTTTAGGGAAAACTTTTATCCTGTTTTCTTTAAAACCTTATCTTATTAAGATAGACTTTTTAAAAAAATTCATCCTTGTGATAAATAAATAATTTAAACTTAAGTCAAATTATTAAGTAAAATTATATTTAACTTAAGTAATTTCTGTTAAGAATTAAAGATGATAAAATAGATTAAGTTTAAAAGATTAATTCGCCAGTTCATTTAAAAGATTCTAAAACAAGTTGGTGACTTTAATTTGTTTAGCCTAATTTATTAATTTTATCAGTCAATGATTAATAAGAATTTTTAAGATTTTATATAGGTGCGTTTATATATATATATATATATATATATATATATATATATATATATATATATATATATATATATATATATATATATATGATTGATAATAATTTTTAAGATTTTGTATTTATATATATCATATGAGTATATATTCTATTGATATACTTTATCTATATATAGAATAAAAATATGACAAAATATCAAATATTAATAATATATAAACCATAACTACCTAAATCAAAACAATAACGTAATATCTTCTTATTTTCTTCTCTTAAAAGTTAATAAAATCTCTTTATATCTAACAAAATATAATAAAACATATATTCTCAACATTGTTCCTTATTTTAATTTTAATATATTTACTTCATGACTTCTTTTGCTTAGAATATAATAAAGAACCTTTGGTATCATGATCTCCTCTTATCAATCTTCGTTATTTTTGTGCTTACAAAACATGTGACACTTTTCATAAATTTTCGTTATTTTTGTGCTTGTAAAGAATGTAAAACTTCTGTCAAAGTAATATTAGACAACTTCTTTGTACTTTTCATTAAAGTAATGATGTTCATATGTTTCTAGCATATTTACCATAATTTTCTTAACTATTTTGGAAATAGAAAACTCCTTACCTAACAATTTTATCTTTTTAGTAATACTCAACAATTTGCTTGAGTATTTATTAATTGTCTCATACTCTTACATCATTTGTATCTTAAATTCTCTCTCAAAGTTTAAAACTTTCATAACTCGAATTTTCTCATCCCTTCATACTCGGTCTTTCAAATAATTCAAAATTTCGTTGGATAACGTCATGATTCTGGTTATGATCATTTGTGAAACACCAACAAACAGATATTATTTAGTTTTTGTCTTCCTCGTCTTTTCTTTTTCTTTGAAATTTGATTAGAGTTACAATGAAATTTGTGAAAAGTTTTGTTTGGTCTCCTTCCTTCTTCTAGTAAGAACCAAAGCTTTCAAAGGTCTAATATAAAAAATTTTTAGAATTTTATGCACGTGAATTTATAATATATGAAATATATATCATATGAATATATATTTTATTAATATATTTTATCTAAATATGACAAAATATCAAATATTAACAATATCTCAATTATAATTACTTAAATCAAAATAATAATATAATATATTCATATTTTCTTCTCTTAAAAATAATAAAATATTTTAATACCTAATAGAATATAATAAAATATATATTCCTAATAAGATAAAGTGGGATTAAGTATATTAATAATTGATTCACTTTATATATTAAAATAAAAAAGGTTATAATTAAAAATATAATATTATTAAAATATTTATAATATTATAATTTAAATTATAAATATTAATTAAATTTAAATTATTGAATACAATTAATTATTTAATATATAAATATAATAATTTTTTAATTTATCTAATAAAATAATTAATTAATAAATAAAAATTTAAAATTATTTATATAATTAAAAATATATTTTAAAAAAATAGATATAAAATAATATTGATGACATAACCTGTTTATAATTCATTATCTTCTGTCCCACGTGGCAAAATAAGGTGTACTGATTTTTTTCATCCCTACCCAAAGTCAACATGATTATATTCAGTCGTACATGTATCAATGTTAAGATCTTAATATATTCTCACCCCTACTTTTTTACTTGAAAAAATTTATACTTTTCTTTTTTATAGTTTGTTAGTAAAGTTTAACTTTTTTTATATATATGTAGCAAATTAAGAGCGCAAAGAATTGTGTAATTTCCAATTATATTTATCAGTCTTAATTTTCATTAATTTGAAAATATAAAGTATAATTTATATTTTCTTATCTTATTTTAAAAAGCCTATAGTTTTAAATTTTGATTATCATAGGAAATTTAACAATATATTAAAAGAACATTACTGATTTATAAATATGCACCTTAATTTTTTTTTCTAAATGATCTTTCAACATTACTGCTTTTGTAAATAGACAAGTAGATTTTAAATTTTATTCTAATTAATCCTTACAATTTATTAACTTTTTTATAAATATTTTCTAGCAAAATGAATTGTAACAGAAAGAAAAATATCAATGAATTATTAAAAAATATATAAATGATTTAATTTGAATATGTTAGACAAAAATATTTATGAAAAATCGAAAAGTTTTAAAGATTAATCATTATATATTATATTTTAGGTGTTTATTTTAAAAAAAATAATCAAATTTAAGGATCAATTACAATAAAATTAAAAAATATCTTCTCCCTATTTTTTTAATCAAAAAGTAAACTATACAAGTGCAGTGTATGTATAAAATAAGAGGAGTTTTATATTCATTTTAAAAATGATTGAAAAGTATACCAATCCGGATTGAAGTTATAAGAATATTATTTTTCTTTAAATAAAAAATTAAATCTTATTTATGAATGTGTTGGTGGGAAAAATCGATATGTGGATCGAAAAGCGGATGGAAGGAAATCGAGGATTGTATGTTAGTTGAAAATTTGATAAATCGAAAAGATGGTTGGAAGACATTCGATGACCATGTATTACACTACTACAAATATCACATACTAATTAGTATGAAAACATCGATCGAGAATTGAAATCGAGAATCGAAAGAAGAAGATTCGATGACTATTGTTGAAGAAAATCGAGAATGAGAATCGAGAATCGAAAGAAGAGGATTCGATGGCTATTGCTGAAGAAAATCGAGAATTGGAATCGAGAATCGGAATTGAGAATCAAAAGAAAACAAGAAATTCTATGATCATGGGGAAGTAAAAATCGATGAAAGGTATTGAGTATGAAGTTAAATGAAAAGCCAGAAATAGTTTTAAATACTTGATGGTTGAGGTCAAGATCAAAGGAACGATTATCACGCACATGGAACGTAGGAAACAGTTTTCTAAACCGTGACTAAGATAAAAATCGAAGGATAGTTAACGTACGTGCACATTGAATGTGGTAGCAGTTTTTAAACTACTCTTAGGAGGTTACCTGAAAGACACTCTATAAATAAAGCGAAGTTTGAAGGAAAATGGGAAATTGACAGAGACTACAGAAACATAAGTGAAAAGTCTCCCTGAGAAACGACGAATCATGAAGTTTTTGGCAATCTGGATTTCCATTTTCATTGAGTGTCTTTAC